TCAATATCAATGAGGAAAAAAAAATACCAAGAAAAATATCGTCCAAAAAAAATAAAATTAGTTACTGTTACAATATCCTGTCAATATAAGCAAAACTAGACGAAAGAAGAAGCATGAAAATGTAGACTAATGGACAATGAAAAAAGCTTATCAGCGCAGACGTTGGGTCTAAAGTGTAACTCCTCCATTCTGACGTCATGGACTAACGACGGGACCTCACGAAATGTCACATTGCTTGTTCAGCCAAACCTAGTGGGTGATAGGTTATCAACTATGCTGGATCCGAATATCATAGTGGTAGTTGCCCAAGGGCCTGTTTTCCACAAACGCTAAAAAGTAACCAAAACCTTTCTTAACAAGGCATAATTGTAGTTCGCAAATTTCTGATTAAAATGAGACATCTCTCGGCTCTACACGACCTTTCTTTGTAAAGTTATAGGATGTACAGGACAAGCCCTAAATTAATTTCTTATTTCTGTAGCTTTGAGCTGACAATAAACGTTTTGGGCTTTTCTTGTAAATTCTATAGCTTTGCAAAGAAAGGTCGTGAAGAGCTGGGAGGTATCTCCTTTAATCAGAAATTTGCGGGCTACAATCATGCCTCATTCAGAAAGGTTTTGGTTGCTTTTAAAGTTTCTGAAAAACTGGTTTTCCAGAAAACCAGTCTCTGGCAGCCCGTCTCATGTTGATTTTCGGAATCAGCATGGTCGAGCGGTTTGATGATCATTTTTATCTAAAGATGTTTGTTGATCAAAAAAATTGATACCCCATGCATCGAGTAATTGACTAGAGATTTTATACCCTTTGAAAAATCTATTGTTTCGTATATTGATTGGTTAAAAATTTTCCGACTCGACAAGAATGTAGAGCAAACATTTCTCTATAAAATGAGAGATCGGACAGCTCTAAATGATTTGTTTTGAGACTTTGACAGCGATACCTCAAGAACATATGTATAATCGAGTAGTAAACGAGTATCGAGTACTCGGTTAGTTCCTTATGAGGCATCGCTGCCACAATCTCAAAACAAATCGTGCAGAGCTGTCTCATTTTATAGAGAAATATTTGCTCTACATTCTTGCCGCAGGCTCCATAAAATATCTTCATATCCGCGGCGCTGATTGAAAACTCGTTTACGACGGCGACTCTTGAATCTGTTAACATGACTGTCTCGCTCTGATTTTTATCTAGTATTGTGACAGATTACAGAATACTTCAAACGAGAGACTTTATTTCGCGAAATAACTTATCACTGCTGATTATGAGATATACGGTTATATCTAGATGTGAAGGAGAACATCAAATTCAGACCAGATCAGACCGATTGGGTATATGAATATGATTATTTGGAGAATATACAAAAAGACTTCTTTAGTCCA